TTAGTTAGTTAGTTAGTTAGTTAGTTAGTTAGTTAGTTAGTTAGTTAGTTAGTTAGTTAGTTAGTTAGTTAGTTAGTTAGTTAGTTAGTTAGTAGTTAGTTAGTTAGTTAGTTAGTTAGTTAGTTAGTTAGTTAGTTAGTTAGTTAGTTAGTTAGTTAGTTAGTTAGTTAGTTAGTTAGTTAGTTAGTTAGTTAGTTAGTTAGTTAGTTAGTTAGTTAGTTAGTTAGTTAGTTAGTTAGTTAGTTAGTTAGTTAGTTAGTTAGTTAGTTAGTTAGTTAGTTAGTTAGTTAGTTAGTTAGTTAGTTAGTTAGTTAGTTAGTTAGTTAGTAGTTAGTTAGTTAGTTAGTTAGTTAGTTAGTTAGTTAGTTAGTTAGTTAGTTAGTTAGTTAGTTAGTTAGTTAGTTAGTTAGTTAGTTAGTTAGTTAGTTAGTTAGTTAGTTAGTTAGTAGTTAGTTAGTTAGTAGTTAGTTAGTTAGTTAGTTAGTTAGTTAGTTAGTTAGTTAGTTAGTTAGTTAGTTAGTAGTTAGTTAGTTAGTTAGTTAGTTAGTTAGTTAGTTAGTTAGTTAGTTAGTTAGTTAGTTAGTTAGTTAGTTAGTTAGTTAGTTAGTTAGTTAGTTAGTAGTTAGTTAGGTAGTAGTTAGTTAGTAGTTAGTTAGTTAGTTAGTTAGTTAGTTAGTTAGTTAGTTAGTTAGTTAGTTAGTTAGTTAGTTAGTTAGTTAGTTAGTTAGTTAGTTAGTTAGTTAGTTAGTTAGTTGTAGTTAGTTAGTTAGTAGTTAGTTAGTTAGTTAGTTAGTTAGTTAGTTAGTTAGTTAGTTAGTTAGTAGTTAGTTAGTAGTTAGTTAGTTAGTTAGTTTAGTTAGTTAGTTAGTTAGTTAGTTAGTTAGTTAGTTAGTTAGTTAGTTAGTTAGTTAGTTAGTTAGTTAGTTAGTTAGTTAGTTAGTTAGTTAGTTAGTTAGTTAGTTAGTTAGTTAGTTAGTTAGTTAGTTAGTAGTTAGTTAGTTAGTTAGTTAGTTAGTTAGTTAGTTAGTTAGTTAGTTAGTTAGTTAGTTAGTTAGTTAGTTAGTTAGTTAGTTAGTTAGTTAGTTAGTTAGTTAGTTAGTTAGTTAGTTAGTTAGTTAGTTAGTTAGTTAGTTAGTTAGTTAGTTAGTTAGTAGTTAGTTAGTTAGTTAGTTAGTTAGTAGTTAGTAGTTAGTTAGTTAGTTAGTTAGTTAGTTAGTTAGTTAGTTAGTTAGTTAGTTAGTTAGTTAGTTAGTTAGTTAGTTAGTAGTTAGTTAGTTAGTTAGTTAGTTAGTTAGTTAGTTAGTTAGTTAGTTAGGAGGGGAGGGTTAATTTTTTTTGTTAATTTGGTTTTGAATGGTTATCGCTAGACTTAAAATATTTGGGGAATCATCACAAAACAAAGCAGGTATGGTGAAAACCGCAAGGTTAAACTTTTTAACTTATTGATAGTTCATATTGGGGAAATGATATTTTTAACTTTAATTAATATAAACAATTTTTGAATGGGGTGTCATGTGAAAGCTCTTTCGAAGGCCATTGCAAAACATTTTTTATTATAATTAAAAATGTCTGTATCAATTTAATTCATAGTGAACCTAATTTTTAAATATGTATGTAAATAAAATTTAAAAAACCGAATATTTTAACTAAGCCTAAAAATATGTCATGATTTTTAAACAAAGTAATACACACCAAAAAAAACTTTTGCATCTATTATTCATAATGTATTTTAAACACTGACTTTTAAAGCTTATAATACCTGCACTATAATTCAAGCATGTATCGAAAAACATTAAAATTCAAAGCGTTATTCTCTCTGTTTTTTATTGTGAATGACTAGACAATATGTGTGCAGAAATAAACTTTGCATAATAAATCATATTGAAAAGGTAAATGGATGGTGAAAGGAAAATAAAAATACATAAATGTTATTGGAAATATGTAGCTATGTATGCATATTTTTTATTTTATTTTGCTTTAAATGTTCTTTGCTCTAAATATGTTATTGTCATGGATTCCAGCAAATCCATTGAAATTCGTTTGATATTCAAAAACATTTTTTAACCATAAAGAGCGCTACGACTGCAATGCGACAAAGGATATTTTAAAAAATGCTTTAGAATATTTATCGCAAATTTAATTTGTTATTTCTTGGGAAATATTTATGCATTTTTATAAGCTTTTAAGCAAATAAAATACATTTTAATAAATTCTTAAGGGCTGTTAAAAAGATTTAATAAAAGTACATAGATCAAGCATTTGAAATGAATTTGCAAATACTTTTATCGAGGTATTAAAATGCGCTTAATAATAATGTTATCATTACGTTTATAACCAATGTCGTAAACTACTTCGAAACGGTGTAAAAGGAGTTAGCCGTAGCCAACCTTGTTTATATCACATTGAATTATCGGTTGCAGACCTTCATCCGAGTCGATTTTATCTTTAAAATTTTGTTAAGTGTAACATTATGTGTTTATTTATGAAAAGCCTAACAATATGCTTTAAAATTTTTTAAAATTTTAAAAGTTTTGATGTTATGTATAAAAGCATAAGTATACCGCCGAATATTTGAAAATGTACTATCGATCGATGGGATCCTATATAATTTATTATATGTTTCACAATGAAAATTATTTGAAAATCTACAAAATTTCCTTCTGTGTAAAACTTTGAATTTATTTATTTTCTATCAAAATTTCCGATAAAAAATAGAACAAAAAAATTCTCACAAAATATTTCGCCAATCCACAAAAAAACCTCCAAATCCAACCATAAACTACTAATCTTAACATGGATTTGAATGCAAAGTCCCCAGAAGTTAAAAAAATACAATTACAGCAACAAATTAAACTAAAAAACTCAGAGGAATTTAAAATACAAAACTTTTGGCCAATACAAAGAAACGTATTTCAAAATCTTCTCATAGAGTCTGATGTACCTGGGGAATCTTATGCAGAATCATCTAGTACTTCACTGCAAAGACTGCAACCTGTCAATAAGTTCTATACGAGTAAAGCCATAAGACAAATGATGGAAATACGACGCATACAATTGCAAAATTTACCAACACATTCTTCGGATTCCAGTTTGGAAGAAGATCGTTTGGAGAGATCGAAATGTCGATATTTAAAACGTAAATCAAAGTTGGAAAGAGATATTTTTTGGAGAAAATATAATGATTTTTTAACAAGATCTATAGATTATATGGAGAGCAATAGAAGTAGTAGTAGTGATTCATAGAAACAATTTTTCAATAATGTTCCTTAAATAAATAAATCTTAACAAATTTGTTTCAGAATATCTATAGAATTTGCAAATACAGAAATATATTCGATGTGAAATTTTAAGAAATTCAAAATATTCAGTTTTTACTTTAGAATAAGTCTCACGATCAATGTTGATTTCAATAAGAGGTTGAGAAAAAAAGTTTGTATTAAATAGTTTATGGATTGGTCTATTTACTAGTCTATTGATAAGTCTGTGGACCATTTTATGGGCTAATCAATTGACTAATCTATGGACGAATCTACTGCCTATAGACAACAGATTATAAACAATAGACCATAGTCCACTGACTATCCTATTGTCCAGTTCTTTTAGACTTATCCTTGAACTACCCCATAAAATGGTACACAATATACTACTGAGTATACACTTGACTATAAATGAGTATACTCTTGACTATAAATCAGTCTATAATCTTGACTATAGATCAGTCTATAGCCCTGACTATAGATCAGTCTATAGCCTTGACTATAGATCTGTCTATAGCATTGACTATAAATCAGTCTATAGCCTTGACTATAGATCAGTCTATATTCTTGACTATATACCAGTCTATAGTCTTGACTATAGATCGGTTTATAGTCTTAACTATAGATCAGTCTATAGCCTTGACTATAGATCAGTCTACAGTCTTTACTACAGATCAGTTTAGACATGACTATAGATTAGTCTATAGTCTCGACTATAAATGAGTCTTAAGTCTTGACTCTAGATCAGTCTATAGTCCTGACTACAGATCAGTGTATAGTCTTGACTATAGATCAGTCCTTGATTATATATCACTCTACAATCTTAACTATAGATCAGTCTAGAATCTTACTTATGGATCTCGATTATAGATCAGTCTATTATCGATATACTGGTTGATACTCAATAGACTAATCCATAGGCTAGCCTACGGACTACAGTATTGACTACTATGTGATCTAGTTGATTAACTATCCTGAGGGCTTGTATATTGACTAGTCTTTGAACTAATCTATCGACTTGTCTGTAGACTAATCTATTGACTAGTGTGTGGAATAGTCTATTGACTAATTTGTGGATTAGTCTACAGTCTAGTCTATAGACTAGTCTATTGTCATTTCTATTGACTATGGACTAGTTCATAGACTAGTCTATTAACTAAAATGTGGACTAATGTGTGGATTAATTTGTGAGCTAATATGTGCATTAGTCTATTGACTAGTCAATGGACTGGTCTATTGACTATTGACTAGTCTATCGTCTAGTATATGGATTAGCCTATGAACTAGTATATGGACTAGTCTATAGACTACTCTATGGACCAATCTATAGACTAGTTTATGGACTAATCTACGAACAAATCTATAGACTATTCTATGGACAAGTCTATGGAAAAATCTATTGACTATTCTATGGACTAGTCTATTGGACTATTCTATATAATTTTAGTCAAAAGGCTTTCATATGGATTAGTTTATTGTCTGACCTAGCCAATGGACTAAACTATGAACTAGTATATTTTTTGAGTCACAAAAGTCGAATAAAAACATTTATTAGTTTTTTTATTAGTGTAAGACTCAAGCTTGGACAATCTATTAGTATAATATTTCGGGTTCTATATTAAATATATTTTAACCCTGATTTCCCAAGTAAAGAACTTCTCATCCGAACACATTCCCATTAAATGAATGTCAATATTTGTAGTCAAATAAATAAAATAATTTAAGTTTTTAAAACAGCTTTGAAAAAAAGCACAATATTTATTTTTTACTAAAGATTTTATCAAACAGTGGAACTTAAGAAATTAAACCAATAAAATGACCAAAGGGTACAAAACCAAAAAATCTAATTATTTAGAACAACTGGACAATGATAGGAAAAAAGCCGCTGATTTGCAGAGGGAAATCGATGAAAGAAAAGCAAGTTTAGATTCACCGACGTCATCATCGTCATCATCATCATCATCGACATTATCAACAACAGAATCAACTGATTATTCAATCTCCCAAGATGAAGAGAGCGAAAAAGCCTTGAATATTTTAGATACCTTATATGACACAATGGATGGTTCTACGGACGAGGAAGCAATCGAAGAAGAACAAGAATCATTAGCACATGATATGACTTTCTTTGAAAATTTTGGAGAATTACCAGACATTACAAATATATCAGAAGATATTAGCGTTTGTACCATAGTAGAGGAAAAGGAGGTGAAACCAAAGGATACCACTAAAGATATGGGACATTTTGTTAATCCTTTAACGGGCTCAGAATTTCATATGCATAAACGATCCTCTTCTCTAATAGAGACTAGCTCGAGAGAATCTTCTGTAGCTAGTGAAGATACAGTTTCCGAATCACAACAGTCTGAATTAAGTGAAAACTTATTACCCGATGATTTACTATTTGCAAAAACTCAACACACTACTTATGATAATGCAGAGGACGAAACTACTAATGTTCTTTTTGAAACATTTCTACAATTAGAAACTACAAAAGTTGAGAAAATAGTAGACGATATCGATTGGGAGGCAATTGTTAAACAGCAAGAAGATAAACTGATACTTGATAGCACTTTGGAATTTATAAACGATATTATACAACGAGTGGTTGAAATTGCCGAATCCATAAGTCCCGAAGTAATTTTAAGACAAAATCTCGATAAACGTAAACTGTTATTGGAAATCTCAAAAGTACATCAGCAATATGAAGTTGATCTGAAAGTATCGGACTGGCTTAACCAAAAAGTGGTGGAATTTTTCAAACGTAAGAAAATATTTCGCCCCATTATTCAGGAGAATATCAAGACTTTGCCTCAGGAAAAAGAAAAATATATTACTGCCGTCAAACGTTTAGATGAGTTATTAGCTAAGGAAAGGTCTACCGATGATTCTACTACATATACCTTCAAACGAATTCGCAAAGAATTAGAGGATGCTAAACAGAAAGTGAATAGTGAAGTATTGATGTTTGAAAGTTTGGTTAAGAAAAATTTAGTTAGAGAAACTAGTCCACAATGGAATGCTGTAAGTGAAAATATTGAACTTATTATTGGGTGTACTTATTTTGGATTACAGCTGTTTTCAAGGCAATTTAAAAGCTATTCTCGAATTTGTTGAATTGAATTTATTTATTGCCAGTCTACAGCCAAGACTATAGACTGATATATAGCCTTGACTATAGTCTTGTTAATAGATCAGTCCTAAATATAGACCAGCCTATAGAATCGCCTATAGACCAATATACAGACTAATCTACAGAATTTGCTATAGGCTATATTCTTTATTCTTAATTATAGACCAGTCTACAGCCTTTACTCTAGTCCATAGTATACACTACAGATTATGCTATATGCTCAGTCTATAATCTTGATTATAGATCAGTCTATAGTCTTGACCATAGATCAGTTTAGTCTTGGCTATAGATCAGTCTATAGCCTTGACTAAAGTTCAGTCTATAATCTTAACTATAGATCAATCTGAAATCTTAACTATAGATCAGTCTATAATCTTAACTATAGATCAGTCTATAGACTATATTATAGATCAGTCTACAGTCCAGACGATAGATCAGTCTATAGTCTTGACTATAGATCAGTGTATAGTCCAGACGATAGATCAGTTTATAGTCTTGAGTGATAATCAGTCCCCAGTATTGACTTTAAATCAGTCTACAGTGTTGACTTTAAATCAGTCTATAGTCTTGACTATAGATCAGTCTATAGTCTTGACTATAGGTCAGTCTATAATCTTAACTATCGATCAGTTTATTGTCTTACCTACCGATCACTCTATAATCTTATCTATAGATCAGTCTATAGTCCTGACGATAGATTCTATATTCTTGACTAAAAATCAGTCTATAGTCTTGTCTATAGATCGGTCTACAGTCTTGACTATAGATCAGTCTACAATATTGACAATAAATCAGTCTATAGTCTTGACTATAGATCTGTCTATAATCTTAACTATCGATCAGTCTATAGTCTTACCTATCGATCAGTCTATAGCATTGACTATAGATCAGTCTATAGTCTTGACTATAGGTTAGTGTGTAGTCTTGACTGTAGGTCAGTCTATAGTCTTAACTATAGATCAGTCTATAGTCTTACCTATCGATCAGTCTATAATCTTATCTATAGATCATTCTATAGTCCTGACGATAGATTCTATATTCTTGACTAAAAATCAGTCTATAGTCTTGTCTATAGATCGGTCTATAGTCTTGACTATAGATCGGCCTATGGTCTTGACTATAGATCAGTCTATAGTCTTGACTATAGATCAGTCTATAGTCTTGGCTATAGATCAGTCTATAGTCTTAACTATAGATCTGTCTATAATCTTAACTATCGATCAGTCTATAGTCTTACCTATCGATCAGTCTATAGTCTTGACTATAGATCAGTCTATAGTCTTGACTATAGGCTAGTCTGTAGTTTTGACTGTAGGTCAGTCTATAGTCTTAACTACAGATCAGTCTATAGTCTTGACTATAGATCAGTCTATAGCATTGACTATAGATCAGTCTATAGTCTTGACTATAGGTTAGTCTGTAGTTTTGACTGTAGGTCAGTCTATAGTCTTAACTACAGATCAGTCTATAGTCTTGACTATAGATCAGTCTATAGTATTGACTATAGATCAGTCTATAGTCTTGACTATAGATTAGTCTATAGTCGTGACAATAGATCAGTTTATAGTCTTGACTTAAGATCAGTCTATAATCTTTACTATAGATCAGTCTATAATAGTGACTATAGATTAGTCTGTAATCTTGACTATAGATCAGTCTAAAGTATTGACTACTTATGGCAAGTCTATAGTCAAGACCGCACATGATTTATTTTGATAAATATGAAATTTCAATAAATTTTGTCCATAAAATTTCATACTTTTTAATAGTAACCATATTTTTTCAGCTAATCGACCTATTATTACGCAGAATGGCAAAATATCGTACAGAAGTAAGCGAAGTACGATATCGAATGATAACAAGGCAACATACGCATGCGCTTCTATTAGAGGTTAACTTACATAGCTAGTTACCTAAGTTTCAAAAAGAAATCAATGTATAATTTCTTTAATTATCTTTACAGAAACTCACTAAACTTGAAGATTTAGGCAATGGTCTGACCATAAAGGATTATGATCACATACAAACCGAAAATCAAGCCTTGGGCAAGAAAATTGAAGGTAGTACAAGAACAAGATATAAACAATGTGTTCTATAACATTTCTGAACTTTTCCAGAACGTAATATTGATCTGAAAAAACTTCACCTACGGTCACGAAATTGTCTTCATCTGCTGGCACATTTCAGAGAGAAAAGATCCATCCTGTGTGATGTTATGGCAACACAACGTTCCGCTTTATACGAATTCTATGGAGAACGTAGTTCTCTACGAAAATATATTTATGAATTGAAATTAAAACGAAGTCGCCTTCGTAAGGAGATTAATGAATTGAGTATACAGGGAGGTCTGGTTGATAAACCGGCTCTAATGTACGACTATGATCAGACAATGAAGCGTTTGAGAGAACTGCATGAAATAGTGAATCGCTTAAGAATCACTTTAGATACTATTCAGCAAAGAATACAAAGGCTAGAAAAACGATTAACCCGAGATAATCATAATTTTTCTATGATTAAGTAGATTTTTGTACATGTAATGCATTGTGTCAATGTTGTTACTAATAAAATGCAAATTATTTAAAACTTATGGAAGTTTTTTTTTATACCCTCCACCACCATCAGTGGTGATAGAGGGTATATATAAGTTTGTCGTTCCGTGTGTAACACCAAGAAATATTCATCTAAGACCCAACAAAGTATATATATTCTGGGTCCTTATGAAATTCTGAGTCGATTAAGCTATGTCCGTCTGTCCGTCTGTCCGTCTGTCCGTCTGTCCGTCTGTCCGTCTGTCCGTCTGTCCGTCTGTCCGTCTGTCTGTCTGTCTGTCTGTCTGTCTGTGTAAAACACGCTCACGTTAAAACTAAGCAAAGGAAATCAACAAAATTCACCCAAAATATTTATTATTATCCTAAGCAGTTTGGTATTGAAAATCAGCAAAATCGGTTTACAATGTAAAAAGTTATGAGTAAAAATTTCAGACAACCTCAAAAAAAATTACGTTTTTTTCATAATTCTTTTGAAGTTTTCTCAGAAACTACAAAAGATATTTCGATGAATTTTGTCACACATCATTTTTTCATAGCAGTGATCAATTATGTTGAAAATCTTTACAATCGATCCAATATTTCCCATAGCGCCCATACAAAGGTATATATTCCCGGAAATTAGTTTATCGTTTATAACTCCCTCAAATATATCGGTATCAATACAAAATTTTGTACATGTGAATATAATATGAACAGAAATCATACTGTCAACGTAGATCTCAGTCGGTCCACAATTGGCCATAGCTCCCATACAAGGTCCACTTCCGAAAATCACCTAAACGCACATATTTCATTGACGAATAAAGCTATTGTGATAAAATTCGAGTTAAATATGTTTTGTGTACATACAAATCATTCTACTAAATTTTTTACGGATCGGTCCATTATTGGTCATAGCTCCCATATAAGACCCACTTTCGAAAATCATTTAAAAGCTCATATTTCATTGTCATATAAAGCTATCTTGATGAAATTCAACACAAATATGTTTAGTCTAAATATAAACCACACTACGGAAGTTTTTCCGGATAGGTCCATAATTGGTCATAGCTCCCATACAAAGTCCACTTCCGAAAATCACTTAAACGCATATATTTCATTGAATTATAAAGCTATCTGGAGAAAATTCGACACAAATATGTTTTGTATACATTCAAACCATTCTACAAATTTTTTTACGGATCGGTCCATTATTGGTCATAGCTCCCATATAAGGCCCACTTCCGAAAATCATTTAAAAGCTCATATTTCATTGTCAAATAAAGCTATCTTGATAAAATTCGATACAAATACGTTTCGTCTAGATATGAATCACTCTACGAAATGTTTTCCGGATAGGCCCATAATTGGTCATAGCTCCCATGCAAAGTCCACTTCCGAAAATCACTTAAAAACACATATTTCATTGTCAAATAAAGCTATCGTGATAAAATTCGACATAAATATATTTTGTCTAAATATGGATTACTCTTTTAAATTTTTTCTGGATAGGCCCATAATTGGTCATAGCTCCCATATAAAGTCCACTTCCGAAAATCATTTAAACACATATATTTCTTTGAATTCTAAATCTATTGGGATAAAAATTCGACAAAAATACGTTTTGTGTACATTCAAATCATTTCACCAAATTTTTTACGGATTGGTCTACCATATAAGGCCCACTTCCGAAAATCACTTAAAAGCACATATTTCATTGTCAAATAAAGCTATCGTGATAAAATTCTACACAAATATGTTTTTTCTTTATATGAGTCACTCTACGAAATTTTTTCCGGATAGGCTCATAATTGGTCATAGTTCCCATATAAGGTCCACTTCCGAAAATCACTTAAACGAATATATTTCATTAAATTCTAAAGCTATAAGGATAAAATTCGACTTGAATATGTTTTGTGTACATACAAATCATTCTACCATTTTTCCCATGATCGGTTCACTATTGGTCATAGCTACCATATAACTCCCACTTCCGAAAATTACTTAAACGCACATGTTTCTTTAAATAATAATAAAGCTATCTGGATAAAGTACGACTTGAATATGTTTTGTGTTTTCTACCAAATTTTTTCCGGATTGTTCCATATATGGTAATAGCTCCTTCAAAAAAATCACTTAAACGCACATATTTCATTATCAAATAAAGATATCTTGATAAAATTCGACACAAATATGTTTTGTGTAAGGTCATAGCTCCTATACATATAAAGTCCACTTCCGAAAATCACCTAAACGCACATATTTCATTAAATAATAAATCTATTGTAGTAAAATTCGACTTGAATTTTTTTTGGCATATAAATCATTATACGAAATTTTTTCCTTATCGGTTGATAATTGGTCACAACTCCCATATAAGGACCATTTCCGAAAATTACTCAAATGCACATTAACAATCAAAGTTATCGGGATAAAATTCGACATAAATGTGTATTTTGTATATATAAATCATTCTACGGATTTTTTCTTCCGGATCGGTCCATAGGTTGTCTTAGCTCCCATATAAGGTATACTTCTGAAAATCACTTAATACCACTTAATTCGTAATTAAATGATTATATCCGGATAAAATTCAAAATGAGTATGTTCTGTGCACAGATAAATCATTATATTAAAATGTTTTCAAACTGGCCTATTAATATACATTTTTCTCGACCTAATTAAAATTAGTTTGACATATGCATAAATGTTAGTACCCTCAATAAGGAAACAAGGATTTTGCCAAGTTATCTAAAAATTAAATAGTTAAATGGGTTTCAATAAAAAGTAGCTTGCTGGTGGAGGGTATTTAAGATTCGGCATAGCCGAATATAGCACTCTAACTTGTTTGAATTCTAAAGAGCAGGGCGCTGGTAGGTAAGTCAAAAACTTTTTCCACATTTCGCGATTCCGGCAAAAGTTTTGTGATAAATTCTGATCAGTTGTGTTATATTAAAGGTAGAACATTCTACAAACCTTTATAAGGTATTTTGTGGATAAGATAGGATCAAGTGAAGGCCTTTTATTACGACCCAGCAAAAAAAATTTGAAGTTGTTAAAGAAGAAGGGATATTTTCATGATTTCTTTTGTACGTATTCTATTTAATGCGTTTTAAATACATGCCTAAATTCTAATAAATTTGTCATCAGTGAAGGCATGAAAAATGCACCCAAATTCACTCATGTAACTCCACTATAGGAATTGTAATATTTTACTATAATTTGGTATTCTCTTAGGAGATTTAACGAAAACGTGCATTTCATACAATAAATATCAAAAATTACATTAATTTTTTTATTAGATTTTTGTTTTTGTAGGTACCTACCTACCTAGTAATATTAAGTCCATTTTAACATTAATAAGAGAAGGAAAAAACCAAGACTGTTTAACGGATTTTAAAACACAATGGGTATTTTTCCTCTGCATGAATTTAAATCCAATAAAAATCAGTTAGTTATGTTTTATCTTATTTTATTTTTATCAATATCACACAAAAAAATTATTTAAATATTGATAATTAAATCGAAATACCATTATTAATGCATTTTTAAATAAATATAGTGCACCAATGAAAATTCGCTTGAGAATCATCGAATATTCATTGGTTATAAGAACTCATTTAAATGGCGAACTATTTTTCCAAATACGAACACATGCATGCCAATGACACGCTAATGTTAAAATCATGCATGTTTCCCCTAAATATGAACCAGTTCATTATCAGTTCAACCCATGCATTTACTACTTTTTTTGCACGTCTTTTTTTGCTGGGGACATTTGGCAGGGTCATCAAGACTTATCTTCAAAATCGCGGCCTGTATTTTGATAACAAAGTCGGACGGACATAGCTAAATCGACTTAGAGAATTATATAAGTCAATTGGTATATCTTAAGGTGGGACCTCACTTAAGTGGCGTAGGGCATAAAAATACTTTAACTTTCCTGCATTTAAGGGGTTAATAAACTACAATAAATTTACTTTTTGTTTCAGTATTATTTCCCAACTTCAAATGAAAGCAATAAAAATATATTAATTATAATTTTTTTATAATTTTATAACTTTTTTATAACTTTTTTTAATCGTGTTTTTATATCCCGAGTATTCTTTTTATAAACTACAATTTGGACTTAATCACTTTTAGCTCAAAATTATACAAAATGCCTTCAATAGAAAAGATCCGGGAAAATCGTTCAAACAAAACAAAGAAGTCTAAACCTGAAATTGCATTAACAAGATCAAATGTTGAAATAGAAACCAGTAAATCGAAAGCAAGAAAAGTTACAGTGGAGTCCAAAAAACGAAGTGATTTACCCAGAACATCAGACCTTAAATCCAGAACAAATTTAGAATTGTTGACAAGTGGCAGCAAATCCATTGAGAGACAAACGTTAGGGGTGCCCAAAAAGAATCAATTTACAAACAATGAGTTCTTGCAAAAAGTTATATCGGAAATTGACTCAAAAGGATCATCATCAGAATCCGAGGAATTCCCAGAAATTTTAGAGGAGGAAGTACCACAAGAATTTATCACTTTAGAGGGTACAGAAAAATTGCTACAATTTGAAACACTTTTCGTAGAAGATATATCGTCTGATGAAGAACTAGATCATTTGAAAGAAAATAAGTTCGAACAGGAGTTATTTGAAATATTCGAAAATGTACCCGAAATAGATGAAGTCTCACTGGCCCCTACAGAAGATTTGGTGATTAAATATCCAATAACTTTAGAAATCGACCAAACTATTTCGAAAGATACAGGAAAATTTGTTAATCCTTTAACAGGAACAAAATCCTCATCTTCTGCCAGCCTAAGTACACTAACTAAGGAGGATGAAGATCATAACAGTATAGAAGAAAGTGAATTAGAAGAAACCGAAAAGGAGGAAAGAATATCTCAGGACTATAAAAGTGATATTACGATTGTCGACCTAGTAGAAACTGCTGATGAATTTGATGATGTCCCCGCGGGAGCTAAAACTTATGATGATGAGGATTTGCTTAAAAATTTTTTTGAAAAAGGTCAAGAAATTGAAGTAAAGGATCTAGATGAATATCATGAAGCCAAAGTTGCCCTAATGCGTAAAGAACAGGAGCGTCTTATTCTACAACACACATCGGATTTTCTAAATAAATTAATAGATCATTGTGTGGCAAAAGCCGAATATATGGACTCTAATATAATATTAAGAAAAAATCTAGATAAAAGTAAATTATTGGATGAAATTAAAGCTAAATATGAGCTATTAGAAGTGGAAAGAAGAGTAATGCGATTTCTAAATCGTAAATGTGTAGAACATTTTAAACGTAAATGTTCCTTTCGCCTAATTACAGCTGACGATCCCAAAACTTATAGCAACGATAGTAAAAATTATTATAATGCTCTTGATAATCTAGATAAATTGTTAATTACAGAAGACAGAACCAAAAGTCTATGTTCAGCTCAAGTTCTGGAAACAAGAGAGCAATTTAAAGAGAAAAAGCAACAGACCCAAACGGAAGTAGATCAACTAGAAGAATTGATTAAGACAACATTTCAACGTGAAAATTTCGATAAGCTGAAGACTTCGTTGAGTAAACATTTAGATAAAATGTCTGTGATTCGAAAAGAAATTTCGGATGTTCGTTTTAGACTTTTGTTGAAACAACATGATGTTTCAGAACTCGGCCAGGTATGTACTTAGATCTGTTTATTGGCTGAGGTAGTTTATGTTGAAATAAGAGTGCTTACTTGTTGATGCTCTTTATAGCAAAGAAAAATATTGGAAAATCTGGGCAATGATTTGCACTTGACGCAATATGAAACTATGGAAACTGAAACGAATGTCTTAAGTAAAAAACTAGAGGGTGAGTGATATATAAGAATATAAAAAATATCTCAAATCGACACATTTTACAATATAATTACATTGCTTTCACATCGACTTCAGACATAAAGTCTGGCGGACTGGAGGTAGTGGGTTTGATTCGGCCCAGAGATACGCAGAGCGCACAATAGGCCTGATAGAGATCTAAGTGTAACTAACTAACTAACTAACTAACTAACTAACTAACTAACTAACTAACTAACTAACTACTAACTAACTAACTAACTAACTAACTAACTAACTAACTAACTAACAACTAACTAACTAATAACTAACTAACTAACTAACTAACTAACTAACTAACTAAACTAACTAACTACTAACTAACTAACTAACTAACTAACTAACTAACTAACTAACTAACTACTAACTACTACTACTACTAACTAACTAACTAACTAACTAACTAACTACACTAACTAACTAACTAACTAACTAACTACTAACTAACTAACTAACTAACTAACTAACTAACTAACTAACTAACTAACTAACTAACTAACTACTAACTAACTAACTAAACTACTACTAACTAACTAACTAACGAACTAACTAACTAACTACTACTAACTAACTAACTAACTAACTACTACTAACTAACCTAACTAACTAACTAACTAACTAACTAACTAACTAACTAACTAACTAACTAACTAACTAACTAACTAACTAACTAACTAACTAACTAACTAACTAACTAACTAACTACTAACTAACTAACTAACTAACTAACTAACTAACTAACTACTAACTAACTAACTAACTAACTAACTAACTAACTAACTAACTAACTAACTAACTAACTAACTACTAACTACTAACTAACTAACTAACTAACTAACTAACTAACTAACTAACTAACTAACTAACTAACTACTAACTAACTAACTAACTAACTACTAACTAACTAACTAACTAACTAACTAACTAACTAACTAACTAACTAACTAACTAACTAACTAACTAACTAACTACTAACTAACTAACTAACTAACTAACTAACTAACTAACTAACTAACTAACTAACTAACTAACTAACTAACTAACTAACTAACTAACTAACTAACTAACTAACTAACTAACTAACTAACTAACTAACTAACTAACTAACTAACTAACTAACTAACTAACTAACTAACTAACTAACTAACTAACTAACTAACTAACTACTAACTAACTAACTAACTAACTAACTAACTACTAACTAACTAACTAACTAACTAACTAACTAACTAACTAACTAACTAACTAACTAACTAACTAACTAACTACTACTAACTAACTAACTAACTAACTAACTAACTAACTAACTAACTAATTAACTGACTGACTGACTAACTATGCCAGAGTCCCTTATATTTGTCCCACTTATTAAATTATTTATCTCTATCTATCATTAATTCCCATTGTCCTTATTTTCAGAACGAAACTCCGCTCTTATAAGACTCCACAAACATTACAATTCCGATCTTCATACCATGGCCCATTTAAAGGAGAATCAAAAAATGCTACGACACATTGTAAGCGTAAAAAAGAAATATTTGAGAAAATTACTAATACAAAAGAACACCTGTCGAACATTTATCTCGGAACTTAAACTTAAACGACAGAAAATAAGATCCGATATACGTAATGTTAGCTATCAAAGTGGACTACTCGATAAGCCTATTTTAATGAGAGACTATGATGAAACCGAAGAGAAGGCAAACAAATTACGTCAAACTATTGAGGATTTAAAAAATACTATTGAAGCATTAACCACTAAAATCGGTGTATTAGAGAAAAAAGTATAAAAAAACGTTGATTTTACCGTAGGAACTTATAATTTAACAATTAGGTTTTATAAGTGATAAAATTTGTAAATTATTTGCATAAAAAATAAATCTGAAAAGTATTTTCTAAAAAAAATCTTTAAGCATTTTATTCACAGAGTGACTAATAACAACGCCTCCATATTACCGTTAATAAAAAATTAGGAAAAGAATACATTTAATAAATAACAATTTATATGTATTTATGACATTCTTAAAACACACCTGTAATTTCAAGGTAAATTTTTTTCTTTATACAAAATTTTAAATATTTTAAAAATAATTAAATTTTCTTTCGTAAAGTGAAAATAAAACATATAAATTCTGTCAAATTGCCAAAATTTCTTAATGGATTATTAAAAGTTATTAATTATTCAATTAAAATTTATTTTTTTTTTTTTTCATACAAAGAACTTATTTTATAAATAGAAAACGAATAAAATTTTATTTCTTAAATACATGTAATTAAAGTTATAAAGAAATATTTATTTATATAGATTTATATCGCTGTGTACTGGGGCTTTCAACAAAAACTTATTTGTTCAGCAGTGGTATATTCATAAATTATGACAGTTTGAAATTTTCTTTTGCAACGCCAAAGACAAGGCAGAAATGGGCTGGATTCAGACTTTACAAGTCCGCCATAGACCATACTCAGATCTAACAGCCAACTTATGAAGCGAACTGCAGCGGCGGAATCATCAGGCTTAAAAAATAATGAAATTATGCACTAATATAGCCTCACGAGGTTTAGCGAGGTGCAAGTGAAATAGAAAATGTCAGCTATCTAGGGATCATTATACCCTTCAAGGGAGAATCAAGGGAAGATATCGATAATCCGAACTACTACAATTTTGGAAAACACCCTCTCTATTTTTGCGTACAAATATTACAATAATGTGATACTTGGAACGCTGATACTTGTAGCATACGGAATCGATGCTTTGGCATCGACGATCTGCCGTAGAACTGAAATTTCACATGTTTGGAACTGATATGTTTTTGAGTTGATTGGCAGTTTTAGGTGATCGTGGGCGGAATGGAGGCCAGTGGGTAGCCCCACAAATTGATCATCTCGGGTATATCGAGTTACTATATGAGGCTAGGGTCAAATATGAACCAATCCTAACAAAATTTGGTGGAGGGATTGTTGTTGACATAAAAAATAGTTATGTGGAATTTCATCGAAATTCATGTGTTTAGAACAGAATTACGAAGTTCAAGCAGTTTCAGAGAATAGATTTGTATGGAGGCTAGTTTCAAATAGGGGCCAATTATTACGAAATTTTTGTAGGGATATTAGAACATTTGGCATAAACCAAATTGACCCAAAGCTCAATTTAGTGGGTCCGGTTATATGGGGGCTACGACAAATAATGGACCAATATCAAAATCAATAGGGTTCGTCCTAGGGACAAAATTAAATTTCATCAAATTATCTTTAAAATTCCGACATGTAGTTTGATAGCAAATCGACTCAGAAAATGATTCTGAAAGGATTTTGAAAAGGAAAATTATCTTTGCTGTGTCTAGTTTTATTCCATTGGATCTAAAACTACCTGGTGATAAGTTTTTACTCAATCGGGTAATGAAAAGTCGTGGAAAAATTTTATTAATTATTACATAATAAAGGTTTTTTAGTCTTTGAAAAGTAAGTGGTTGTGTAAGTACTATTCATCACCGAGTTTTTGCTGGGTATAGTACTTAATCAACAAAATCGGTTTTACTAGATTCGTGCTTTTATACCAAGTGCATAAAAAAAAAACATGTAAGAAAGTATAGTCGGGCGTGGCCGACCATATGATACCCTACACCAGTTATGAATATTAAATGTGATTTATTTTTCATAATAAAGCATTTATCTTCAATATTCCCTTGTTCCGATACATTTAAGCAATTTACGGATGAAAAACTAATTTTCTGAAAGAGGCTTTATATGGGGGCTAGGGGCAAATATGGACCAAGCCCGATAAAATTTTGTGAATATATTTATTTTTACATAATATTTTATTGTGCTGAATTTCATCGCGATATTTGTGTTTATAAGTTAATTTGGGACATTCAAGTAATTTTCTGAAGGGGACTTTGTATGGGAGCTAGGGTCAAATGTGGCCCGATCTTTACGAAATTTGGCAGGGTCATCAAGACTTCTATAAAACTTAGTTATGCCGTATTTTATCGGTATATCTGTATATTTAACATAATTATGAGCTCAGAAGCCCTTTTCGGGGGGTGCTGTTCTATGGGGGCTAGGTGAAATAATGGACCGAATTTAACCATTTTCATTTCCTTAGGTCAAAAAAAAACGTGCGTGCCAAATTTCGTTCAATTATCTTGAAAATTGCGACCTGTACCTTGCGCACAAGGTTTACATGGACAGCCACCCAGACGGACGGACGGACGGACGGACATAGCTTAATCGATTTAGAAAACGATTCTAAGCCGATTGGTATACTTTAAGGTGGGTCTAGGACGAATATTTTTGTATGTTACAAAGATCAGCACAAATCCAATATACCCTCCCCACTAAAGTGGTGTAGGGTATAATTATACTTTAGTTAGCGAGTCCCATTTAATAGAAAATTTCAATTGGAAATACAAATTTTATAATAAAATTTTTTATCGTTTTATAAAAATAAAACGATTCATCGTGACCTAAGACCTTTAATAATCTTCTTATTTCAATTTCTGTTAACCATATTATTAAACAAGTTAGAGTGCTAAATTCGACTATGCTGCATTTTATTAAAACCCATATAACTATATAATTTTTAGATAACTCGGCATTAGTTTTGTACATAGGTACATAGGTCGAAAAAACATTATTTTAAGTGATTTTTGGATATGGACTTTTTTAACGATGTTGTTGGCCTTATATGGGAGGTACGACCTATAACGAATCAATTGCAAAACATTGCTCATGTCGAACTATATCCGGATATAAACATTTAATAATGAATTATGTGGTATTAAGTGATTTTCAGAAGTAAACCTTATATGAGAGCTATGACTATTTATGGACCGACTGATTTATATATACACGAAATATATTCAAGATGAATTTTATCCCGATAACTTTTATTGTCAATGAAATTGTGCATTTAATTTATTTTCGGAAATGATCCTTATATGGGAGTTGTGACCAATTATGGAGCGATCTGGGAAAAATTTCGCATAAATATTTATCTATATATGCAAAACATATTGACGTTGAATTTTACCCCGATAGCTTTATGAGTTAATAGAATATATACGTTTAAATGATTTTCGGAAGTTGACCTTATATGGGAGCTATGACCAAATACGGGCCTATCCGGAAAGAACAACGAATATTTTTGGTGAATTTGGTTTATTCTTTTATTTTAGGCAGACAGACAGAAAGACCTAAATCGACTAAGAATTTGATAAGGACCCGTAATATATATACTTTGTTGGGTCTCAGATGAATATTTCTTGGTGTTACACACGGAATAACAAACATATACATATGTTACCACTAATGGTGGTGGAGGTATAAAAATTAAATATTAAACATATTCATTTACTTAAATATGTATTTATTTTAATTGTTTCATTATTTATTCGCATTAATTATATATTTAATCAATATTAACATACTGAGTGGAAAATTAAAATTTTATTCATTTCCTCATTCAATTATGCTTCTTTTCAACCATAATCGAAAGAAATTAAGGGTATATTGATTTTGTTATACCGTTTGTAATATAGAGGGAAAAAACAGGTAGAAAAGTACCGAAATTGATATAATCCCTTGTCAAAAGTTAGCCCAACATATTTGTTAACATTTAGATAACGGATGTGTTTAAAATTTAAATAACATGCTGTTATCATTTTGACAACCACCGTTGTAATTTTGACAATACATCGTTGTCTTTGCAACAACGCATTGTTGTAATTTTTATTACGCTTTGTGTCATTTCAACAGCGCATCGTTGTGAATTCGACAACGCAACTTTCTGTTTGACAACATAGCATTGTCATAACACATCGTTTTCACTCCGAAAAGATACCTCAAGTGTGTATAATTTTAAAACGTCTTTTTTCTGTTAATATGTATATAATATTGCTAGCACAATAGGGCTCAAACTAAAGCAGCTAAAAGGCTTTATTTGGTATGGAAATTAGGCAATTGCGATCCACGTTTTCGCCTAGTTTTGTCCTCCTGGAAGATAGTTTAAAGATTTCTATCTGAAAATAATTTAAACATACACAGAGGGGGAAAAAATATACACGCCTGGTACCAAATTGACACCAAATTTTGTCAATAACATCATTTGTCAAGTTTATACATACATACAACAACAACATGTAATGTTGACCACGCAACATTGTCAAGATTGCAACAATTCGTTGTCGCAATCTAATTTTTATGAACATCCGTTGTCTAAAATTTAGGTTGCGACAACGAATTGTTGCAATGTTGACAACATTGCGTGGTCAACATTACATGTTGCTGTTGTATATATGTATGTATATACTTGATACCACCTGATTTGCGACTCATAATGGATACCACCTGATTTGTGACTCAAGTCTCCTTTTTCCGATAATTCATGTTCATATTAATATATACGCAGAAACGATACATGTTATGATAGTGGGCACATAAAACGTACTATAGCTGAATATTACCTTCTCATTGCTTTAAATCAATGTTTATTTGAATGTAAAATTATTAAAACAACTTTTTTTCTTTATTCAGAAAAAGTCACGAATTATGTAATAAAAATGCACTAAAATGTGAATAAAATACGTGATTTTATTTATGTTTTCCTTATAATTTTATTTTTAATTTGTTTAGATTTATTTGTTTATCTGTCACAAATCATTTTTTTTTCCTCCAAGAGTTAATAAACATTCATTCGACCCACCCACGTACTTCATACTTTTAGTATGAAAGTTTTTGCATAAAAAAAGAAAATTAAAATATTTTATTTAAACTTGACACTGAAATTGTTTAGTTTATTAGAGAAAATAAAATATTTTGGAATATTTTGCTAATGGGGTTGTTCCATATTCAAATACATACTTCAGATTGGAAAGAGTATGATGAG